GTTCTGGGTTGCTCGGCAGTTGCTCGAGCAGTTGTGTGGGAGTCTGAACTTCAACTTGCTGTCTGCCCACAGGGTCGGGTTTGGCTTTGGCGTCTGTTTGGTTCCTTCGGAGACTCCCCTTCTGCCTCTCTTGCATTCATTGGGTTCGTCCTCCGGGAATCTTGTGTTGGTGCTGCGTCACCAGCTTCCTGTTTGATGTTTTTGGGGTTCCGTGCCTTGGCACCTCACTGAGCCATCGCTCGATGTGTTCACGGACGGGTCATCTCTCGGCTGGGGCTTTGTGACCAGTGCTCACCAGGTCGGCCGGGGGTGGTGGGGTCTGTCCGTCCGTCGGGCTTACAGCACGGTTCGGGAGTTCGTGGCTGTCTGGTTTGCACTTCGGATGGTTCGGGTCACTCAGTGCTCTACCATCCAGCTCCATTCGGACTGTTCTCTGGTGGTTCTTTGCCGGAACCCACACAGGGTTTCTCTTGGGTGTTTGACTTTTGGGGTTGGTCCCTTTGAGTGGCTTGTTTGCTGGATTCTCGGGGTTTGGCTTGCCGTGAGGTTCATGTCCGGGGTGTGTCCTGCGTCCTGGCAGACAGCCTGTCTTGGTTCATTCCTCTGTTTGCGGATTAGCCAGTCGTCGCTGACTTGTTTCGTTGGCTCTGCCGGACGTATGGACTCCTCGCCATGGACATCATTGCATCAGCATGGTCTAGGCGTCGCCCATTCTATGTGGCGTCCGTACCCGCCTGCGAGGCTCACGGTGGATGCCTTTCGGCAGGACTGGTCGAGGTGAGGAAGACCTGTTCTTCTTCTCCTGGTCCAGCTGTTGCTTCAGGTTGTGGCTCGGTAGGAGTCCATTCCCAAGGAGAGTAGCCCTCATGGTTCCTTGGTGGCTGGCCCAGCTTTATTTTCAGACGCTGCTTGATAGGTGTCCGAACCGGGGGCGTTTTCCCGCAGCTCCGCCTCTTTTGGCAGGTCAGACCTGTCCTGTACGTGACTGGTTCGGCCTTCTCCTCGACTTTTCGCGTCTGGTATTTTGACCATCAAAAATACCTGATCACCATCTATATGGTGATCAGGTGGCTTTGTTGATGGTGTCCCACCTGCGAGTTTCGTCTCGGCAACAGTATGACGTTCCTGGTGTTTCTATAGACCCGTTTTCTTGCTCTTCGTAGGTTGTTTTCTCTTTCGCATCAGGTTGTCTTGTCCTTTCTTGGGTTTTCAGGACTACAGTTATTTGATGTTTCTTACTGTCGCCTCATTTTGTGCGGCGCTGGCAGAGCCGCTCCGGTTTGCGTTCGGGGTGGACGTCACATCTGCCCCGTTCCGTACGCTTTCTCGTGTTTTGTTTCACATCCGGCCTGCTTATGCATCGCCTGAGCCATCCTGGTCCTTGATCAGGATGCCCTCTTATCATCTTCTCCTCAGTTTGGGGTATCCCCTTCGCTTCAAGTTTGGTTTTCATAGGCCATATTTTGTTGGCATGGGCCTCTGCAGGTAGGTTCGGGGAGCTTCCGGCCCTTCCGGTGCAGAGGTTTCTGCTCTTTGGTACTGGTGGTAGGTTTGTACGTTTGCTGCCTTTCTCCGTCCTTCTGGCGACGGTCGAGACGGCTGCTTTCCGGAGGGTTCCTTGGGTTATTGATGCTTGATTGGTTCAGCCAGGGGTGCGTCCTGTGTTGTCCGGTTGCGCCTTTTTGCCATTACCTGCGTATCGTGTCTGAGAATGCGCTTTGGGTTGATTCGGTTCCCCTCATTCCCTGTTTCAGGCCCCGGGTCTCACAGGTCGTCCGCAGAGTTTTAAGTCTTCCAGCCTGCGATCCATTCTTGCGCCCGTGCTGTTCGGACGTTTGCAGCTTTCGCTACTGTGGTGGTGACCTCTAGGGCTCATTTCGGACGCGAGGATTTGAGAATCGCACAGGTTCCTGGCCTCCCGTTCTTTATGCGTGTGTCTGCTCCTGTGCGTTCTTGTTGCCTTGGTTCGCAGGTTGCAGCCTGTTGTCTCGGCTTCGCATTGCGGAGTTTGAGGTGGCCGCCTCCTGGGTCAGCCCTTTCTTTTTCTTCTCTTTGGGTATGAAGCTCCAGGGAGCCGTAGGCGCTCCCCACGGAAAACCAGCGTTGAATGTAATGAAACGCCATTTTCTGGGTGAGCCCCGGAGGCTCCCTGGCCATCCTACCTCCCACCGGTCGGTGGTTTTTTCGCGTTGGTTGAAGCTTAGCTTCCGAACTGCTGCTAGGCAGCCAGTGTGGTGAGGTCCGGGGCTCCCCCCCCCCCCTCCCCCTCTCAGGGCGGGAAGGGCTGCGCGGACGATCGGTGCGACAGTAAAGTGTGGTTTGCTTGTTTCCTTGGGATTGTAGGGAGTTTCTACCTCTCTGTTCGGTTTTCTGTTTTAGTTTTTTACCATGTGAGATTTGTTTTGTTATGCCTACCTTTCTGGGTGCCTAATCCCGGTCGATGTCAGATAAGGAAAACCCCAACCATAAGGGGGTTTTCCAGGGCCATTGCTCTCTGAAACCTCTCTGAAGGGGCCAGGTTCTGGCACTGGTAACTGATAGGTCTGAACTCCTTAGCTAATGTCCCGGTCTAATATAACATACATTAGCTCGATAAGCTCCGGGGAGCTTCCAGGGCTCACCCAGAAAATGGCGTTACATTACATTCAACGCTGGTTTTATACTGAATACAATTTTTTTCTCTAATTACAATACAGTACATACGTTTATCTTACCTTTATGGAGGACTCTTGATGGAGTATGGAAGATGGTGAGGAGGGGAGAGGAGGAGGAGAGGTGTTACTGTTTGGAAGCGTTGTCCCCTTCCATTATAACATCAGGCAGTGAGGACTTCTCTGGGGTACACACTCTGGCACCTTTTGCCTGCATACCACTAGGTCCTGCTTCTGGCTCACTGCTTGATTTTGTAGAAATCGTTCCATTGAAGATTGTTTTTCCCTTCTTTCCAACACTTGTCTGTAGTGAGGCATCACATTGTCATTAAAAAGATCAGTGCAACGGGCTGTTACAGCTTTATCTGGATAATTCTTTTCAGCAAAACATTTGCAGTCCTTCCCATATTGCACACATTTTCTTAATTTAATGAGGAAGGGACATCCTCTAATGCTGCCGCCTCCTCCTCTGAAGATTTATTGTATTGCCTAGCTAGTTCAACAACACTATACCATTTTCATGTTTACGTATGATCTCTTGTTTTTCCTCTATGGTCATTCTTACATGTGCTTTCATATGTTGAACCTTACCACTGACTTTCTTGAGACCCATAGTATGATATATAATAATCAGTTTTATGTTCAAAAAGCAAAAAATCACCACAAAAACAGAATTTCTTATAGGCGTGATCGTCACCATGCGGGCGGCTGTAGTAAACTGAGGCAGGTCGGCCCGCGCGACCCAAACGTATACCAACAAATATCGTTAGTCGACGACACTGTCGTAAGTCGGGTCACATTTTTCGATCAAATTTACATCGTAACTCGAAATTAAGAAATTATCGTAAGTTGGGGCAATCATAAGTCGAGGTGCCACTGTACAGGGTACAAAACACAATCAGACCTGCCCATAGTAGAAAAGCAGCATGTAAAAAGATCTGGGAATAATGATGTCTGACGACCTAACATTTAGGGAGCATAATCAAGTAAATATTGTATCAGCCAGAAAAATGATAGGATGGATTATGAGAACTTTCAAATCCAGGGATCCATGACAATGGTTGTACTATTCAAATTACTTGTGCTATCCTGTCTTAAGTACTGCTCAGTACTCACCTCCTCCTTCAGAGCAGGAGAGATTGCTGAAAAAGAGGGAATACAGAGAACATAGACACAATAAAGCACCTAAACTATTGAGATCGTCTCAAAGCTCTCCAAATTTTCTCCCTGGAAAGGAGACGAGAGATGTATCAAATAATGTGCACATGGAAAATAATGGAGGGCCAGGTCCCAAATTTACACAATAAAATAACAACATACAGGAGTGAATGATATGGAATGAAATACAGAAAAGAACCAGTGAAGAGCAGAGGTGCCATAGGCACAATCAGAGAACACTGTATAAACACCAGAGGTCCGCGGTTGTTCAACATCCACCCAGTGAGCATAAGAAATATGAACACGCTAGAACACTCGTGAACGTCTTCAAGAGAAAACTAGATAATTTTCTTCAAGAAGTGCCGGACCAACCAGGGTGTGGTGGATATATGGGCCTGCGGGCCACTCCAAACAACAACCTGGTGGACCAAGTTCTCACAAGTCAAGCCTGGCCTGCCAGGCCAGGCTTGGGGAGTAGAAGCACTCCCAGAACCCCAAGTACAACTTTGGTCATTGTAGCATCTCTGTTTACTTATGAAACAGCTTCTGCCCTGGGGAAGTCTTCTCCATCCTGGGGCAGAGGGGGCGGGGGGTTCCTGTATTCCTTGTGTCTTTCCTTTGTGCCTCCCCTTTCCTCCATATCCTCTTCTGTTATAGCCTGTGTGGTAATCTGAGATGTACCTGTCGTTTACCTGTCGATGATTCTGAGGATCAATATCTACCCATGGTGGTCTCTGACCAGGCCTCCTGGTTGGTGGTCTGGTCAACAGGCTGTTTGATGTGCCCGTTTGCAGCATGTCGTACAAGTCACAGCCTGGTTGATCAGGTATCCTTTAATGGTTTATGAAGTTTTCTTTTGAACCCTGTAAAGGGTCGGCCAATTATGTGTAGAGGGAGAGTTGAAAAGTCTTGGGCCTTTGATGTTGATTGAGTTCTCTCTGTGTGCCTATAGCACCTCATGTTGTCAGATTGCCTGACATCCAATTGCCAAAACAGCTGCTGTATGGAGAATTAAGTCAGGACATGCATTCACCTCTTTAACCTACCTGGGTTGTGGTCCCAGGTAGGCTAAACAGAACTAAACAGTTTCAGGGACCCACTGGGGCTCATATAGAAAGAGGTATTTTATTACATTTAGTGCCGGGTATTTGGTAGAAATTGTCTTTTATTTATTTCTCTCTCTATTTTCAGAGGTGCCTGATGAAGAATTTGTAATAACTTGTTTGCTAATGGTATTTGTCGCAGTGTCCATTCCTAAACTAGCTCGGATGGATAGCACTGTAAGTATTATGAAAGTCCTATTTTCTATTTACAAGTAAAAATAAAAAAATAAATTAATGTTTTGTTTCCTTTGATTTAGTTTATTTTCTTACAATTTGCACTTTAATTCTCTTCATGTATTGCATTTCTTGTTTAACATCTGAATATTATCTAAAGCATATGTAATACTATCCAGTAGCAGTCTTGGCTTAACTGCTTACAAACTTCAGTCAGAAGTATACTGAATCTTTCAAAGCAAACCCTCATCAAACTAATTAAGTTGTTCAGTTTCTTTCTGTTCTTACTTTGACATATAATATGAAATTCAAATTCTGTACATACTTAATAGCCCTACAGTGACAAATTCTTTATAAAATTACCATTCAGAGCTGAACTGACATTAAAAGTTCAACAGCTGAAGAGAACTTTAACTGCAATTAACATAAAAATTTCATGTAAATTTCAAAGCATGTAACCTAGGCAACAGCATGTAACTGTTATTCAAACTAATTATATTTATTTGGTCATTGAAACACCGGGGTTATGACCAACCACCCCACTTGTCACTTGTTCACGAGCCACCCTGATCCAACCCCATCTGACCTACATGGGAAAGGAGGGCAATGGACCAGGGATTAGGGAGCTACTGAGTGGTCCAGCAGAAAGAGGCATTTCATTACATTCAACTCTGAATTTCTTGGGATCCTCCTGCATAACTTCGAGATGCTATTTGACAATGAAACCTCAGCATAAGACGCAGTAGGACAAGAAAAAGAAACAACATAGAAAGACAGTCAAGGTTTATCCATGAAGAGGACAAGGAGATGACCATGGCAAAGGCACTCAGTGCTTGGCTAGATGCCTCAAAGCAGTACAAAAGTGCAATGTAGCCAAGGAGCATTCAGCAAATAACAGAAGGAAGAACCAGTTAAACTGATAAAAGCCTTTAGCACAAATAATTTTTGTAGATAGAAATATTGGTGAAGATATCTGACATCATGAAAACTTATGCATATCATGAGAACAAGGAAGAACCTCAAGCTGGCTAAGCTTAACTACAGATATTTTTTAGAATAAAGGGTCAAAGAAATTAAATTAACTAACTAGACATCCAAACCCTTTAAGGTACACATAAATATCTCAATACTGCAGCAACAGCACAAACTGAACAAACTAAGCATCAACCATCAAACAACCCCTTTGGAAATCAAACAATCTCATTCTTAGTGAAAAAGGAAGGAGAGAGCTGAAGTTGGAGGAGTAGAGAATTAGAAGCAAACTAACAAAAACCCTGCTTCCAAGAGGAAAGCATAAAGCTCCTCGACCCTACAATCAGAAGTTGGCGCCATCAGAAAGGCCACCTTGAAGAAAGGATACCCCATCGAAGGAGACATCTGAAAACCAGGGGAAGACACCAATAACCAGCCAGAGTGGTCCACACAACAAGTGAACGACTGAGTTTCCATGATTTTCATTCTTTTCTGTGGGGAGCCCCTACGGCTCTCTGGAGCTTATCGGGCTAATGTATGTTATATTAGACCGGGACATTAGCTAAGGAGTTCAGACCTACCAGGGACCAGTGCCAGAACCTGGCCCCTTCAGAGAGGTTTCAGGGAGCAATGGCCCTGGAAAACCCCATATGGTTGGGGTTTTCCTTATCTGCCATCGACCGGGGTTAGGCACCCAGAAAGGTAGGCGTAACAAAACAAACCCCACATGGTAAGAAACTACAACAAAAACCGAACAGAGAGGTAGAAAACTCCCTACAATCCCAAGGAAACAAGCAAACAAGCAAACATCACACTTTACTGCCGCGCCGATCGTCCGCGCAGCCCTCCCCGCCCCCGGGAGGGGGAGGGGGGAGCCCCGGACCTACCGCGCCGGCTGCCAAGCTCCAGTTCGTTCGCTAATGTCAACCGGGATTGACGCTTCTCTGGCCTCAGTTTCCTAGGCGGTGTTTGCCTTGTGTGGCGTTCACTGCCGTGTGTTGTGTTGTGCGGTGGCCAGGAGTACTTCATCAGTGCCGGGGCTGCATGTGCTTAGTGGCTGACTTCCCTAAGCGCCCTGTGAGTACTGCCCTTGCGTAACAGGGTTATCTTCCCTGGGGCGTTCGGGAACCATTCCCGTAGAGGTTCTTGCTGCTCGGCATTTGCCTCGCCCTTGGGGCCAGCTGGGGCTTGGGGCCCTTGTTTGGCCCTGGGTAGGGATTGGTATTGTGCTGGTTAGGGCGTCAAGGTGTTGCGCAGCCTGCCACCTAAGCGGCGGCCGGTTTCTGTTGCCTCTGGAGACGGTGTACTTTTGCGGGGTTTTTCTTTTGTTTTTAATTTTTCATGCCTGGTGGGGGTCTGCCTAAGGTGGTTATAGTTCCACTGGTAGTGTTTGGCGGCCCTCTGCTAGGCCCCCGTGATTGTACACGTCTCAGGGGTTTTCAGTGCTATAATCTACCCTCTTGTTATGTTTGGGTTTCTTAACCGGTTAGCAACACCTTGCCCGGGCTTCCCGTAGTTGTTACCCTACGGGCCCTGGAAACCCCTGTCTGGGCTCGGGGGACCATTGAATGTGTCTTCCGGGTTCCAACCCGTCTTGTACGGGATCGTTGGTTGCTGTTCCCTTGTCTCCGGGTGACAGTCGCCATTTTTACCTCCGTCATGCTGCCTGTTGGGTCACTGACACCTTGACCCGGAGTCTTGCGAGTGATTCTCTGCTTGTTCTCCAGTACTCTCCTGATGTTATTACTGTTCAGAGTACAGGCGGCATCCGTGTTGCAAGCTAGGTTAGGTTGCTGCAACATGCTAGGTTGGTTTCCCACTCGAATGCCCCGTGGCCGCCCCGTTTGGTTAGGTGCTGCTCGCCCCTTTCCCTCCATGTTCCCGGCTCCGGACCGTCTGCGGGTTTCGGGGTCGGGGCGGGGTTTAGTTGCGGCAGAGACTCGGGCGGTTTTCGGGGGCTGCCCCGTTCGGGTTGGGGACGGAGGTTTGAGCCTGTGCCTCCTGCCAAGGCTTCTGGGTCTTACCAGCGGCCCTTTCTTGTTGCCTTTCCCATGGACTCTTGCTTTTCTTTAAGGGCGGAGGGCTTGGAGGACGGCTCTGCCCCGGGGCCTCTGTTGTTGGTTCCCGGGGCTGTGGGGGTTGCCTGCTAGCAGTTCTGGGGCGGTTTTGCCCCTGCCGGGGTTTTTCTGCTGTTGGGCGACGTTTTTCGCCCATCCAGTCTGCTAGCTTCCCACATTTGCTGGCGTGTTTTTGTGTATTTAGCGTCAGTCACAGCCCCTGCTGGCGGCCATTTTCGTCTGCCGGTTTCACGGCGTGGCCACCAGGGCGGCGTTGCGGTTTGTTTACATGCGTCTGGGTGTGCGAGCGAGCGTCTCGGGTGAGTTTTCAATTTTTTTTCAGGGTTTTTGTTCTCCTGTTGTCGTTTCTTTGTTTTTCTGGTGTTTTCTTGCCGTTGCCTGTTCCTCTGGGAACGTTTGGGTGTTGATTTTGGGTCTGAGCCTATGGGTTTAGGCTCAGTGCCCCTGGCTGGTATGCTTACTCCCACACCTTGCCCCTCGGTTTTCGGTCTGTTGGGACCGTTTTCCCAGGGCGTTCTGCTGGGGGCTGTGCTTTGCCTTTCAGTGGTGTTCTCCGCCGGCAAATGTGGTGGTTTGGGCTCCCCCTGGTTCGATTCTGGGTTCCTTTGGGTTCCTTGGTTTCGTTCTGGAGGTTTCTTCCTCTTTGGGCCCCCTTTTGTGGGTTCAGGGGACTTTGTTTCATCGTGTGACCCGGTTCTGCCTTTTGGGGTTCCGGGGTCTTCCTGGCTTGCAGACTGATCTTTTTGGGTCTTAGCACATGTTGTGGTTGTGCTGGGACTTTGCGGTTTTGCTGTCGAGGTGGGCCTTTTGATGCGGTTTTGTGCCTTCTTTGCCTGGCCGGCGTAGTGCTCTGCCCACTAGTCGGTGACTTGTACTTTTACAATATATGTCCTCACCTAGTTGTGCTTGTGGGGGTTGAGCTCTGGCTCCTTGGTCCTGCCTCTCAATCGTCTATCAACAGGTAATTACCTAAGTGTAATTACCTAAGTGTAGTTACAGGATGAGAGCTACGCTCGAGGTGTCCCGTCTTCCCAGCACTCTTTGTCATATAACGCTTTGAAACTACTGATGGTCTTGGCCTCCACCACCTTCTCACTTAACTTGTTCCAACCGTCTACCACTCTATTTGCGAAGGTGAATTTTCTTATATTTCTTCGGCATCTGTGTTTAGCTAGTTTAAATCTATGACCTCTTGTTCTTGAAGTTCCAGGTCTCAGGAAGTCTTCCCTGTCGATTTTATCAATTCCTGTTACTATTTTGTACGTAGTGATCATATCACCTCTTTTTCTTCTGTCTTCTAGTTTTGGCATATTTAATGCTTCTAATCTCTCCTCGTAGCTCTTGCCCTTCAGTTCTGGGAGCCACTTAGTAGCATGTCTTTGCACCTTTTCCAGTTTGTTGGTGTGCTTCTTAAGATATGGGCACCACACAACAGCTGCATATTCTAGCTTTGGCCTAACAAAAGTCATGAACAATTTCTTTAGTATATCGCCATCCATGTATTTAAATGCAATTCTGAAGTTAGAAAGCATAGCATAGGCTCCTTGCACAATATTCTTTATGTGGTCCTCAGGTGATAGTTTTCTATCTAGAACCACCCCTAGATCTCTTTCTTTATCAGAATTCTTTAAAGATTTCTCACATAATATATAGGTTGTGTGGGGTCTATGTTCTCCAATTCCACATTCCATAACATGACATTTATTAACATTAAATTCCATTTGCCAAGTGGTGCTCCATATACTTATTTTGTCCAGGTCTTCTTGAAGGGCATGACAATCATCTAAATTTCTTATCCTCCCTATTATCTTAGCATCATCAGCAAACATGTTCATATAATTCTGTATACCAACTGGTAGATCATTTATGTAGACAATAAACATCACTGGTGCAAGAACTGAACCCTGTGGTACTCCACTTGTGACATTTCTCCATTCCGATACATTGCCTCTG